CCTACACCTCCAGACATTCACTCAGGCAATCTGGATAGAAACTGACAACAAGAATGCCACTGACATCGGTTGGCAGCCATATATTGCAGTGTATCCAACCAGGCACAGTGAGGGTCACGCGGTCCTTATCCTGGAAGGCGAGAAGCACCGACAGCACCCAAGCGTTTCGTGATGTGATAGACAGATCTTAGTCCCGCGGTACATCTTGACAAAAGCATGCTTCTTTTACTGGACTCGTAAAAGACTATTCTAATCTTCCTTGGTGGTTCAAACCCCGGGAAGTGTGCCTTTGTGTATTCTGATGAATTATCGGTGATAGACAGATGTTAGTCCCGGGGTACATCTTGGAAAAGCATGCTACTTTTACTGGACTCATAAAAGACTAGTCTAATCTTCCTTGGTGGTTCAAACTTCGGGAAATGTGCCTTTGTGTATTCTGATGAATTATCGTTATTGACAGTGAGAGGTTGGGAGACCACTGGACAAGACCACGCCACCAAGACAGCGCCACATCACTATTTCGCCAAGACCGCTCAGATTATTGATCGGCTTGGTGGTGAATAAGCTTAGTTTAAAAAACGTTCACGTTGGAGGAAAAGACAACGTTCTTCAACCCGGATCACACTTGGGGAATTAAATATGAGCTAGGAGAATAAGCAAGCGTCCGATAATTCGGGTCGCCTAGCAAACCAAGCTTTATTTAGACGGGAATTATGAAAAAGGACAGAATTTTGGATAGCTAGGTGCCGAAGCGAGACACAGACAATGAAAAAAAGAGGATAAAATGTTGGAAACGGTCAGGCGATGTGTGAATCAATCGGGTTGATTTTTTAAATGTTCCAATGGCAAGGGAATCAGGCGTGTCAATGTCTTTTGGTCGCTTGTGCGACTGTGATTAATCATCACCGGGAAAGATTGAGTGGAACACTGACGAATGGATATGGCAGTCGAAATTTAATTTCGCAACACAGCACAAAGAAGGAGCTGGTGGGGAATGTTGACTTCTTGTTTTTTCTTTCGTCAGCTGCACACAGAAATCAACCAATTCTTTCCGGTTTTGTTAGGAATAATAATCAATAGTTGAACAGATTGCATCGACTACCCTCCCATCACTTCTTAACCGTTAAGATTTTATTTCCTGAATAAACCTTGTGCTTAATTATTAGTTTCTGCAGGACAAACCGCGCGGATGTTTTTTTCCGAATCTCGTTCCCAGCATTCTAAAATTTAAGGGTGGTGGTCCTGGTCAGAAGTGCACCTACACTTGGTATGACGGTTGGCAGTACATTCATCTTTTTTGCGCGCGATAGCTACCTAAATGGGTCGATGGTAGTCCACGAAGAGACCGTTGCAGCTTTGTCACTCATGGCATCATGTACTTCTAAGGTACGTCATTTCGAACAGCCAGTCCTACATACGCTTCGAGCGATCATTCGAGGCTCGACTCCGGCCGGCTTTCTCGTTGTCTCACTTAACTACACGTTTGAACAGCGTGCAATCGTGGGTGGAATTATCAGATGATGAAGAGACATGTGGCAACTCGGCAGGTTGCCTTAACAACAGTCCTTGGATGGGGTGATAAACGTCAATCATTGTCCACGTATGGAGGTCCTTGACAGATCTTTATATTTCAAAGTTGCTAGTGGCCCTTCCGTACAGTGTTCCAAAATATAAGTTCGTCTGACAACTCAACGGCGGGGAAAAGGCGTTCAGTGTTACGTGCAATATCGTGTGTATTTTCGTCATCACTGTGTGTTTTGTCGTCATCAATGAGAAAACAGGTCAAAAATGACAGTCGATGAATTTTCAGCAACCTTATGAGTAGTGCATTACAAATACATACATGTATCACGACATCTCGAATATCGTAGCGACTGAAACATGAAGCAGTGCAGCACATTCAGTCGCCTGGAAACATCACAAACGAGAGATGCAGCTTGGTTCCAGGTGAGTCTCTCGCGAAATCAAATTAATTTGCAAATGAGTGTATTTCGCCGTCATTGAATTCACTTGAGTATGCTGTTAGAAGTGCATATTGTCTGGCCAAAAGGGCTCCATCGTAAAGATGATGACTATGCTGTTCATCTGGTGACTAGGTTGATGATTGCTCCCCGGCCACTAAGATCAGCTGTAGAATTCCGGTGAGACCAGTTTCGGTCTCCTTTCACCAGCTTGCCGCATGACCTTCAAATGTCTTGGTTGTGAACATTTTCTGTTTGTTTCAAGGCTACTCGTTCTGTGTTGACGCTGGCGCGTCGAAATATTAGCAGTTTGGAAGCGTACCACAGCACGTATCCCCCCATAGATCGTAACTGCTTGATGACACACTACTGAGAACAAACTACCGACAAGCCTAACTTGCCCAAATATGGTGTACAGTGAAGCATCGATGTTGAACACTGATGCCATGCTGTCGATGATGATGATGATGATGACGATGATGATGATGATGATCATCATCATCATCATCCCATACCTAACCAGTGTCGCGTTCTCCGAGAAACAAATGAAAACCTCGAAATGAGAATTGGCTGCACTGCAAGAACGTAGGATAAACATGAACGCTCAACTATGATGAAAGTGTCAAAAGCCACCTACTTACCTGTATTGTCTCAATGACATATGCCTTTGCCTGCGTGTCATTCCATATAGACATCCTGTCGCTTTCAACCGCGGGACGTTGTAACATTGGACTGGTGTGCATCCATCGATTGCTACGCTTCTCAACTAAGATTCGACCGTACTTTCCCAGTAATGGCTTTAATCGGGCAACAGCCTTTTCCACCAAACGGCCTTCTCCTGCTTGTTTCAGGCGAACCAGTTGTCGGTCCAACTGACAGGAGACAGTTCCGTTTTCTTTCAAGTCCAAATCGTCCACGACCAATGATGCGATGACTTTTTCCGGTTCCTGAATTCCTATCAGGTCAAAATTTACCGGAAGCGATGTCCACTGATCCTCAGAAAGCGATGTCGAGTCGGACCACAGTTTTGCGCTCTGTTCTGTCAGCTGGTGTGTAACGGTCGGTTGATTGTATATCGGTTGGGAGCCGTAATCAAGCAAATGCATCCGAGGATAATTATCATTCGTATCGAGCAGCCTGACGAAGACAAGCAAACTGGAGCTCCTCGACGGTTTTCCCCCATCCTTTGCGATTATGACGAGACGGTGATGGTCGCGATGTAGTGGAGTCTGTTCTCTGTCTAAGGAATGCTGTGTTCGTAACTCACCGGTAGAAGTGTTGAGTGAAAATATCTATATGAAACAGGAAGTAGGTAGATGCCTGTGTTGGGGAAAGACACGTTGAGGTATCGGCAAATGTGACTTTCCTGCTCAGACCAATTTCATCCAGCTACTTAGATTAACAGGGCTGAAGCAACACGCCACTAATACGAAAGATTATTATAAACAAGCGGTTCGGCTGGATTCAGTTGGACCTCTCTCCAAAACTAAATTAATATGCAAATGAAGGTAGTTGGATCTGAAGCGAGTTGCAGCAGACATCGTGAAAATGCGCACAATCTTTAGCAGTTTTCATACCCGACTTTCAAAGAGCAAGCATATAAGGCGAATAAAACGAATATGTAACCTACGTAATGAAACTGAAAGGATTTAACGAAGATCACACATTATTTTGTTGGTAATCTGCCAGTAAGAATTACGCTTTGAGAAAGTGTCGGCAGAGTCTGCGGCAAACAGGGCGGGTGGAAATCGAATGTCTATCTTGCTTGCTAGATTAGATTTGAACTCAATCCTAGGTGGCACTATCATTTTCGATACATTGATTTTCCCTTTGGATTTTCACTGACAGAGTCGCGTAATATGTTATGGCTCGATCAAAGCCGAAGCTGTTAATCTGTTGAGTGACACTTAAAATTAGTCTCACACTAACTTTCTAGATAAACATGATAGGAAATGGTACCCTTGTACCGGTGATGCTACTGATGGGGGAATGCGAGTAGTATGTTTTCTCGTAAGTCCGCTTTGCCTGAAATTTATTACTGAATTTGTGCAGTCGCTCTGTAGCATTTGCTTGAAATTGAGTAACAGTCAATGAATATCCAGGAAAGTTCAGGAGGACGCGTTCAAGGAAAAGGTGAATATTCAGTTTTGTAAACAAGACGCATATGAGAGTTTTGCTTCCCTGTCTGGTAGTCTCTAACTGTTCAGTCGGTGTTTAATAGATAACTCCGCAGCAAAGGCCTTCTTCCTTTCACCCTTAGTGGCCTTGGCCTTGGTGCGGCGAAGACACTGCGTTGGCTAGCAGCTTAACACCACGCACCCCTTGCGGACTCGAGGGAATGAGGTCTGACAGTGAATACAATGGAACAGTACTAGAAACATCGAAGTGCTTAACTGATGACCAAATCATGTGAGGACAACCAAATATCTAGCAGCTTGATGGCACCACTCATTGGATGGGTTTTCAAACAAATTCACAGTATGTATTAACTGACAAGACGATTGAACGATTGTGATCAACCTAACTTAATGTGTCCCTCAGTGTTTGGTGTGAAGTGCTCGATGAGGTGTCGCACAGTCCTTTTTAGAACTTTTGACTCGGTTATTGCTTCAACTGCCCTGCGTACAGGACTCACAACATTTGTTGCAGAACTCTGCCCGTACGTACAGGCATCCACAACTGACCGCCTTTTCTTTGCGTGCCAGTCAATTGGTCAATCAATAAACTGTCACGTGACTGTCTCACTGTGGTTCAAGTGGCTGTTCGCGAAGCCAAGAACAGATTTGAACATTGTTCATGCCTACTTGCGCTATCAGAGGCCGCAGTGTACCAATCAGTATTTTTCTGATAATACCATACGTTATTTTTTCACTCAGAACGATTTGTTCAACATACATGTAGTGCGCAAACACTTCCAAATGTATCTCATGAAATAATCTTTACTGGTTGAGTGGGCTACTCATTTTCGCCAGCAGGATATTTGTTGAACAGTTCTCACACATATTTCATGACGTCCTGAGTGAATCTCAGTTATTCCTGTGATTGAATGAGACTCACCACTATTCTGTTTCGGTTCGTAAATTGTACTTTTTGAGACTGGCGGGTCAATGGCAGAATACGCTACTTTGAATCACGTGAAGTAAACAAGGTCACTCTTAAATCTTTAAGATATACAGTTTCATGTAATGTAGTCGGTCAAACACCGGATAGTTGATTACAAAATCGACAGTTAGTCGCGATCGAATTGTCTGAGTTTGCGGGGTTGACTAAATGATTAAAAATCAGTTTCATTACTACTTTACACTTGTCCTAGGTGTCCTCACATTCCTGCCTTAATCTGACTGAACGCAGTTCAGATTACCGGCGCATTTTTGTCTCTCACTCTCGACGTCCGATACTTTAATGAGTACTTTATTAATTTGTGGCCAAAAAACGTGGAAAGACGAAGGAGCCGCTAGCTGGGATGAAATATTTGATCCAGTTTCCAATGAAGTGAAACGGCCGAGAAAAACCAAACCTCGCGTCGATGTTTCTGCGGACGGCGGGTGCATTTTGAATATTGATAAATTAGTCTACCGGAAGAAAAACCGAATTAGGCAGCCTCGATCAATGCAAAGAGTAGAGTGTCCCTTCGGTTCAGAATGAATTTAATGTATTCCGTCCATATCCCTGGACACATTCCAATATCAACTGGTTGAGGTAAGGACGAATTTGAGGCGATTGGTTATGGTTGCCCGTCAACTGTATTTGAACCAGTATGCGCTTACGTCCACTGTGGTAAAAACAGACAGTTCACTCGGCGCCGGATTTGTGAACATGTGAAGCCGAAGCAAACCCAAAGAATTCAAAACCGGATAAGGCAGAATACCATTAGTAGGGACGAACGCTGACGCCGTAATGAACCGTAAAAAGACAGAATCACTCTTTAGTTCTTTTACGGTACAGTGTAGACCCTCCAGTACGTACTGCCGTTGTCCGAATCGGGCAGACATGTCTCTAGCCTCGCAACTAGATCAAGACTCATGATTTTGTTACATTTTGTTGTATCCATTTTTCCAGCGAGATGTATCAGAATGTAACCAAATCGAGTGTCATGAACTTCCTCTGCGGCCATAAATAAGTCTCCAGAAGTTTAGCAACTCTAAATATTCGGGTTGTACTATTTAATAAACCTGTTGACTATTTATAAACCTGCTGACACACACAAGCACCGAATAGGTCTCAAGCAGATTTGGACGTCTTCTGAAGATAGCATAAAGTTCTCATAAAGGAAACTACTCACAAGGTCGCTGAAAATTCGTCGACGGCCCACGACCGGTTTCGCCCTTTATGAAAATATACTGCGATATCTCGAATACCGTGCCAACTGAATCATGAGGCGGCCTGCGTGCAGCACATTCAGTCGTAGAATATCATATACGACAGATTCAGTTGAGTCTCTCTTTAAAACCAAATTGATTTGTAAATGAGTGTATTTCTCGATAGCATTAAATTCCTTACGTTTAGTAGCGTGAAGCACAGGTGTACCCAGAAATGTTCAAATGAGCGCATCCTTTGACGGTTGAACTGTAATCGTTGCTTCGCTGTCTTCAGGCATGAAAATAATTTTCCTCGAGCAGAAGATGCTGCTGTGAGAAAGAATTTATGAATCACATTTACTGCATCTAGTCACTTTTCGCCGTTTTTTGTGAGCTTAGCTCACTTTGGTTCGAGTTGGGTGGTTAACAGACCCACATTAGTCCATCAGTTTCCCGTTCCCTTTTCGAACGATTTGCATTTCATGTTTTAGGGGCGAACACATCTCGTTTCTTGCGACCTGCTCAGTGAGAACGCTGGAAATGTTTGCAATTCAATCAATATAGCTAAGCCTGGCTGTAGCCAAAGAGAAGATGATCACCATAACAGGTAGCAGTCTGGTCTCCTTAATTCCTCTCATCCAGTTGGATAACAGTAGGACCACACCTGCCGATAAGTTTTGATGGTCCTGTGTTTTGCCTGACTATTCCGCAGTAAATTTTTCTGACAAAGTGGTCCGCTTAGGGGAGAGATTCCTGTGAGAAGGTGGAAAGTTCAAGGACCGCCGTGGTACCACGATTTCATCGCAAAACGTGATATAGCCATTTCACTCTCGGTCATCCAGACCAAACACTTCCGGTGGCAATGAAAGAATCCAAGTTACCAGCATGCCAACACATTACCGGAAATAGTCTTGGACATTGAACACAGTGCAGCCGATCGCACTAAGAGGCTCGGAACTTTCAGATGAGCGCGTTGCACTTTGCATGTGAGTTGTTAGCAGTGGGGTGGTCTCAAACAGGAACCGATAAGGACTATATGGATACACACAATCAGGCTGTGCTGACCTCCTGCCAAGTCTTTCTGAGAGCCGAGACACTCCATTCAGTGAAAGGTCAAATAGACCCGTTTACCCGAAGACCACTGTAGTTTGAATGATTTCGGAAACGTGTCGCCCTTCATAGGGCAACAAAGAAAGTGTTCAACTCGTAAGTATGTACAGCTGTGACGCATGCACCACAGGACTATCGGCGTTCTATGGACCATCATGGGCTCCAATCAGGTCCTCCAATCAGAGTGGATCATGAGGTTATTGGTGTCTGTACTTGGTCCACGAATGAACTGTTTCTTTCTGATTATCAAGACAAGATGCCCCGTCTTCCTGTGCTGTCTTTCTCTGGGCGTGACTTTCTTGAGATATCACACTATGCAAAACGTTGGCGAACAGTACTCAGTGACACACTACCGATTTTGTCGTTCTGAGGATTCCCCAGTCAGGTGCAGTTCCCAAGCGAATCTTAGAAAATATACTTCAGCCTCTCGAATGTTGTGCCAACTGAAATATGAGGCGAAATTCAGGTGACCCATTCGTCCGAAGAGTACATGATAACAAAGAAATGCAGCTAGGCTTCAGCTCAACCCACAAACGAGTGTATTTCGCCAAATGCGTACAACTTGGATCCAAGTAGAACCTAAATTTGACGGAATCTAATGAGCTCCAAGAAGGGCGAAACCATAAAATTTGCCTTCCGAGGATCCAAGGCATTCGGGGTCCGGTCCATCCTCAAGTACGTATAATTCGTCGCAGATGTTACGGCTGAAGTCAGCCACTCGTGGCCGAACGGTTAAGTGTTCAAACTACTAGCCAGGAGGCCCCGGGTTCGAGATTCTTCGGCACTTCGTCAGATGCGCACTGCTGATGATTCCCAATAATTTTGAGGTTTCGCGGGATAGGTATTTTTGTCCATAGCCACACCACTGCCGTTTGAACAGCCGT